CCCCAACTAGGGAGGGGGGGGGGGGGGTGAAACAGAAAAGATGAAGAGAACCTTTAACGCTAAACTTTAGCACTATGTTCAGTCAGCTTGATAGGAAATATTGTTTCCTTGCCCCATACTCCCTCAGAAGAACGGAGTAGCTTCAGCACCCGGTATAGCTGATCATGAGCGGAGATCTCATGCTTTGGTGCTGCCATGCTCGCTCTTCGAACCTGCCTTCGCAAGACAAGCTCAAGGAATCAACAGGCAGCACGAGGCATGGGATCTCCGCTCACTTCGACCTACTATCCCGGGCGCTGAAGCTGCTCTAATGTGATGAGCCGGAACGTCTACCGTTTATATCCAGGAGGTGGAGAGGGCGTATTATACACCTGATAATTTAGAAATCAAACGGCGTGTGCATAAGAGAACGCAGGCAGTGCAAGAGAAAACCGTTATACCTTTCACTTCTCTTTCCCTCAACCGGCGACTGTCGTACACCCGGTCTACGGTCACGAACTCATTCCCTTTAATTGTCCCAACTTTCTGTTATTCTCAGAACTCTCTCGCAGGCGTGGCGTTATAGGACCACTGTGAGCTCACCCATTCCATCTTCTCATGCGCTGGCTTGCCCTTACAGCAGTCTCCTACACTTGAAAGGGCTCATCCCTTGGCTCGACGCATGTTTTTTTGCACCTTCCAATGCTTTGGAAGCCGTTGTTCCCTTCAATTAAGTTTTGCAATAGGACCTTGCACAGAAGTTCGAGTGGTCGCGTAACCCAAGAGCTCACGCCCGCGCCAATAATTGAGCATGGCCATGCCCTCCCCATCTCCACGACATAAAGTGTATGTGGGTGGAATCGCGTGAGGTAGGGCACAGATTAGGATAACCCAGAGACTAGACTCCCACTCAAAACCTCATAAGCTTTGAATGGGAATCTGAGAATGGTATGAAATGCGGAGAGCCGCTATCTTCGAAGAAATTTCTCTCGTCATAGACACTTTTGCATGGAAAGACCTGCTCCGTTGAGATGAAGGCTTAGTTGACGACGGCAGGACTTGATCCTCGGACCTATCGTTCCTTCTCGTTATAAGTAATCTTTGCTCTACTTCAATCAATATTCAGGTACTCAAAACCATAATTACCTGCGTTACGTTCATCATCATAGGCAAATTCGGTTGAAAGAGCGACTGTGGAAATCAAGACGAAAAGCAGTAATGTCTCCATTGTTGGCCTTGTTTGAGCTAAAGGAACATTATGAGCGCTAACTCACCAGTTTCAGTAGCTGAAAGGTACGGAAAACTAGA